GTAGAAGTAGTAGCTTAATTACATCATCGATTAATGATTTCGTGATTTTATTAATGGTGTGGGTGATTCCGGTGGAGGTAATGAGGTCTGTGATTTGGCTACTTTGGCTACTTTTTTGGGCTACTTTATTTGTCTGATTATTTTGTGTGTGTGTATGTGTGTTTGTTTGTTTATTGATGGATTGATTTGTGTAGATTTGTTTGTGTATCGATTCGTCTTTTTTTTTTTTTGGGGGGGGTCATGTGCAGATATGTGTGTGTATGTATAGATGCGTATATGTATGTATTTTTTTTAATGTAGGTATCTCTGTGTGTGTTTGTGTGCGTTATATATATATATATATATATATATATATATATATATATTATATATATATATATATATATATATATATATATATATATATATATGCTGTGTGTGTGTGTGTGTGTGTGTGTGTGTGTGTGTGTGTGGTGTGTGTGTGTGTGTGTGTGTATATATATATATATATATATATATATGATACTATATAGATTAGATAGCGTGTGTGTGTGTGTGTGTGTGTCTGTGTATATACATATGTGTGTGTGTGTGTAATTGTGACTGCATGTATTTGAGTATATGTTTGCGTGGGTATGCATGGTTGTGTATGGATGTGTATGTATGTGTACGTTATATATATATGCATGTGTGCGTCTGCGTGCGTGTCTGCGTGTGAGCGTATACATACACTACCGTGCATATACAAACACCCATATACGCATACACAGATGCACATACACACACAAATCCCCTCACACACGCACATTTACATACAGGCAAATAGGAGAGAGAGGGCGGGAGCAGAAAAGATGAAAATAAGAACAGAAATTGAGACAGATAGACATACACAATGTTAACAGACATGTAACCAAGACAAACAAATGACTTGATATACACTAACATGGGAGGAGAATCAAACAGACAAACAGACAGAAAGATAGACAGATATATTGTGTGGCTGACTGACTGACTGACGGATGGATGGACCGGGAGACATACAAAAGGAGATAGAAAGACAGAAACAGTTATAGAATTAGAGAGAAACAGTGACCGAGAGAGAATTAGAGAGGTGAAAGACGAGAGAAAGGAGAGAGAGAGAGAGAGAGAGAGAGAGAGAGAGAGAGAGAGAGAGAGAGAGAGAGAGAGAGAGAGAAGAGAGAGAGAGAGAGAGAGAGAGAAGAGAGAGAGAGAGAGAAGAGAGAGAGAGAGAGATGAGGCCAGAGAGGCAGATAGACAGACAGACAAACAAACAAACAGACAGACAGACAAAGACAGAGGCAAAAGAGAAACAAATAAATACAGGAAATGAAAGACAGACAAACAGGAAACATATTGACAGACAGACAGAAAGACAAATACCTAGATATATACTCATTTGACTTATAAACAAACATTTTAGTCACACATTCAAGCATTCACTGATACCAAACACACGAGAACTCTTAATAGCGTGTAATAATACACTTAAATATATAATAATATATAATAATACACGCAAATATATAATTCTTTAGAGATTTCTTATAATATAATTTTTACACCTAATTCTTTTTCTTTTCTCTTTTTTAAAATTGTATCGCTTCAGTATGTTAAAGATATGATAACGATACAGTGTTAAGAGCAGACACAATAGAAAGATAAAAGAAGAAATAGATGTTAAAAGATCTTAAATCGGTGAGCATGATAACATCTCACTTCTACGACAATAAACAACAATAAGCATAACCAATAATCATAGATACTTAAGCTTCAATCAGAGCGAGCGACTGATGCACGCTCAATCAGCAGCTAACCAATGCGACTAAGAATCTGATGCACGCTGATTGACTAAAGGCTGACAAAATGCTGATAAAATGCTGACACTGACAAAATGCTAACGAAAGGATGCTGACTAAATGCTAACTAAATGCAGATAAAATGCTGCTAAATACTGACTAACTAGACTGACAAATGTTAACTACAGGCTAAAATGCTGACAAAATGTCAACCAAAACCTGACAAAACACTAACTAAATCCAGACTAAATGCTGACAAAATGCTAACTAAAGGCTAACTAAAAGCTGACAAAATACAAACTAAAAGCTGACAAAATACAAACTAAAAGCTGACAAAATACAAACTAAAAGCTGACAAAATGCTAACTACAAGCTGACAAAACGCCGACAACGGGCAGCCTTCACCGCCATGCACGAGGGTGAAAACCCCGTCGCGAAAGGGTGGGTCAGATGTGTGCGGAGTGTCAGCAGTTGATGGAGATTCGCAGGTGTTCTGTACAGGTAGCCTCGACAAGCGAACGGTGTGAGAACACCTGTCGCGGAGTAGGGCGTGGGGACGGACGTAGTGGAGGAGGTGGGGGGTGGGAGGGGTTGGGAAAGGGAGGGGGGTTGGTAAGGGTTTGGGAAGGGAGGGGGAGGGACGGTTGAGGGTTGGGAATGGAGGGGGAGGGGTAGGTAGGGGGTTGGGAAGGAGGGGGGAGGGA